GGAGAGGACTGAAGGGGATGCTAATTGATCACCTCACTCCATATCTATTTCCCTGAAACCTTGAAGTACCAGGGTGGGTGAGAGAGAGGCAGATGGAGGGGGGTACTACAGCGAGAAAGGAAAGAATAGGACAGAGGGACTGTATGAGACAGGTGGGGAGAGGCAGAGGGCCACCCGATGATGGGGAGGAGAAAGCCTAAGGACAAGGGTGTGCGTTGCACAGCTCCAGGGGTACGCCTCACATTGCACTCTGTGAATGGGCCCATGGAGGGTGCAGAGTGCACAGCCCGAACACCCATACTTGGCAGTCCTGTCTAAAGGGGCCCTTCTCTTTTCACCTGTGCTGTAAGACTAAGCGCTTGACATGGTGTGGGCCCTTTGAGGGAGGAAAAAGCATTACCCACCTCAGAGGCTCACCTGGAGTGGCAAAGGCCATCTCCATTGCTGGTTGCCCCAGTGCTTAAGAAACAAGCAAATGCTATGAACCAACTGAAACTCATCAGTCACTTGGTTCCCAGTGTGGGGTAGTAAAAGCCACAGGGTATAGGATGCAAGGTCTTGAGGTCACATCTGAACTTCACTGCTACTAGCTGCACAACTTCAAGGCAGATCATTTGTGCAGCTTCCTCAAACTTCCCTTTTCTCATTTGTAAAAAGGGAAGAGTGATTAATCCCTGTTCTTACTACCTCCAGTGGTTATCTATGAAACTCAGATGATAAGAGGAGAGAGAAGTTTGCACCAGGGGTTATACATTCTTATCGCCACATCACAGATAAAGAACAGAGGCTGACAGCTGGAGTCAGAACTTGAACCCAGAACCTCCCAGGTTCCAAGCAGAAGCCCATGCTCTTCCCATTGCTCCTGCCGGCCTTGCTGGTTTGCAGACTGTGGTCTTGACACTTCTCAGCACTTCCTTTTTGTCCTCCTCTCTCTGTGCTCTGCCTCTTCCTTCTTCACTCTCCCAGGGCAAAGGAAGTCTCTGGAGACTAGCAGCAGTGTCCCTGGGTGTGCACCCAATCCTGCCAGTCCTTGGCTGTGATGGCTCCTTCCTTAACGTGTAGAGAGGACTGCTCCTCCATAGGCAGTGGTTGTTGGAATCCCCTATGATCATGTGCCCCACAAGTGGGGAGAGGGATCATCGAAGGTTGACATTGCAGGTGTATCACCAGCTGATCTAGCCTTTGATCTCTGCCTCTAAACCCCGCTCTCCTTCAGTCAGCTAAATAAATTGGCCCTATTTCACATATCGACCTGTGCACGAACAGTAATAGGTTAGCATTTTCTTGTCTCTGGAAGGTCCTTGAGGAAACCAGGCTCAGTGAGACAGTTGTATGTTGGCCTGGCAGCAGGGGCAGGCTCTAGTGTCAGGCCCTGCTAAATAAGGCTTAGTGATCTTTGACTACTTGCTCAATCTCCCTGCATTTCCGTTTTCTCCTCCCTAAAATGAGATAATGCTGAACTTATGGTCAAGAGGGTTTACTGAGATAACCTGGCCAGGTGCTATTGGCACGTAGCAAATGCTCAACATCTTTATTTGCAGAAGGCTCGGCAGCAGAATGGAATGTGGCTCAGTGCATGCTCCACCCCTGTGGACCACAGCATGGCTTTTGCAGGGAGGGGTTGTAAAGCATTTGGACTCTAAGTCACCATGGCAATGGGGGTTATATGCCTTTTTCTTGAGGCGGTACCAGCCATCAGGCTGGTCTTGGTCTGGCAAGAGATGGGCCTGAGATCAGGAATCCCTCCAGCCCTAAGACAGACAAGAGGCTCAGGAGGTGGGGCCAGTGGTGGCCAGATGGTGCTGAAGGATTTCTCCTTCCCTGGGCCAGCCCCACCAAGAGAGACCTGTGATCTCTTGCAAAGTGTGACCACCAGAAAGAGCCCAGACCCTGTACGTGACAGTGCCTGCCCTCCTCCTTTTCAGGACTGCGTGCACTTCCCAGGCCACCATGGCCCCCCTTCTTTCATCCTAAAACATAAACATGGGATCACGTAACAGCATATTTTGACTCTGGAGCGACTGTGGAGTGGCTTATCAAATTATCAAAGGCTGTGGATTTAATCGGAATTTTGCAGATAACTCCAGCCTCTTTCAAGTGTGCTGCTGCAGGAGCCGTTGAGAATTCATGGGGGCTGGGCGGGGGAGGGCCTTCCTTTTTCATCTTACAAGGAAGAAAAGGTCTGCCACAGCCCAGACTTGGGTGGGCAGCAGGCCCAAGCCCCTGAGCGTTGATCCCTGGCTGCTTGCTGGCTTCTGCAAGGGGAGACCTGGGCCCATCTCCTGACTACTAGCAGCTGCTCTTCAAGACCACTGGCCCGGCTCAGAAAGGGTGTTCTCCATAGGTTTCACCTCCTCTGCAGCTGCCCCAGGCAGGTCTCTCTAGGGCCTGTCCTCCCTGCCGTAACCACCAACGCTGGCCGCAGGTATCGCTGCCATGTGCAGAGCAGTGCTGCATCTTCTCACGGCCCCGGTTCAGGCCCCAAACCCTGGCCTATTCTAGATTTGTTTCTCTGCTTCACACCTCCATCCAACTCATCAGGAAACCCTATGGATGCTGCCTTCAAAACACAGCCAGACTCCAACCAGGGCTTTCCTCTCCCTGCTGAGCCGAGCCTCCCGCATCTCTGCCCCGGGGCCGCCTGCCCACTCTCCCGCTCTGCTCTTGTTCCCTGTGCTCTGTTTTTAACACAGCAGCAGCATCGAGCATTTGAAATACACGTCAGGTCATGTCAGCCCCCTGCTCCAGATCCTCCAGCGGCCCCATGTCACTCAGTGACCAGGGCCTCCCCGGCCTCCCCTCCCCTCAGATCACACCTGTGTTCTGCCCCTCGCTCTGCTCCAGCCATGCCGACCTGCTTGCTAATTCTCCACCCTGCCAGCCATGGTCCCAATCTGGGGCCTTTGCCTTGGCCTGGAACACTTAGCCCCTCCCCAGGAGAGCCCCTTGGCCTCTTCCCAGAAATAGCTTCTCAGAGAGGCTGGCCCTGGCCTGCCTGATTAACCCCCTGCCACGCTCCCCCACACTTGCTCACCCCTTCCTGGCTTCCTCTTTCTTCATGGAACTTATCACCACCTCTCTTGTGACCTATTGACTGACTGCTGTGGTCTGAATGTTGGTGTCCCCCACAAAATCCATAGGTTGGAATCTAATACCCAGTGTAACAGTAGAAGAGGTGGTACCTTTGGGAAATGATTAAGTCATGAGGGCTCTACCCTCACGAATGGGGTTAGTGCCCTGATAAAAGAGGCTGAAGTGAGCCCCCTTACACCTTCCAGCATGTGGGGACACAGCTAGAATATGTCATCTGTGAGGAGTGGGCCCTCACCAGACACCAGATCTGCTTGTGCCTTGATCTTGGACTTCTCAGCCTTCAGAACTGTGAGCAATGAATTTCTGTTGTTAATAACTTACCTAGCATAAGATATTTTGCTACAGCAGCCTGAGCAGACTAAGACACATGCTGTGTTCATCCTTCTCACTAGAACGTAGGCTCCAAGAGAGTAGGAACTTATATCTATTCTGATCAGGGCTGTATCCCCAGCGCCCAGAGAGGTGCCTGGCCCAGAGCAGGTACTCAGGGAGTATCTGCTGAGTGAATGACTGATGTCATTCAGTCTGCATCACAGTTTTCCATGGCAGCTATGACATGATTTTACCAAGGAGGTTAAGGCTCAAAGAGATGAAGTAGCTTATCTAAGGTCACCCAGCTAGCAAGTGGCAGGTCCAAGAACCACACCTGAGCAGGCCGGCCCTGATTTATGCTTTTAGCCACAGCCCTGACCTGTCACTCAGTTCATGCTTCTAAGGCTCTGCAGCCTCCTCAGCGGTGCCCTCTCCCTCCAAGCAGGTGGAGACCAGCCCCTGCTCCCTTGGCACTGGTTTTCTTTTTGAGGGAGGTGTGTGTCAGTCACTCAGGCTGCTGTGACAGAATGCCAGAGACTCGGTGGCATATAAACAACAGAAATTTATTCCTCACAGTTCTGGAGGTTGAGAAGTCCTAAATCAGGGTGCTGGCAGATTTGGTGTCTGGTGAGGGGCTGCTTCCTGGTTCATAGACAGTCATCTTTACACTGTGTTCTCACATATAGAAGTGGAAACAAGCCCTAAGAGGCCCTTTTTATAAGGGCACTAATCCCATTCATGAGGGCTCTACCCTCATGACCTCATCTCCTCCCAAAGTTCCCACCTTCTAACACTATCACACTGGCCATTATGATTGAACTTAGGATGTGGGGAGGACACATACATTTGGTTTATAGTGGTGTGTTCTTGGAAAGCGAGCAGTTGAATAGGAGCGTGTGTGTGTGTGCTTGCACATGCGTAAGTACGTGTGCACGTGTGTGAGTGCCTGCTGGGGATGGAGGGGAGCAGAAAGGGAAAGGGAGGGTGTCTGCCTTACTGGTCTCCTCGTCTGTACCCTACCTAATAGGATCTCATTTGAATCTCAGGCCACCCCATGAAGGTGGTATTATTATCCCCATTTAGCAGATGGGGAAACAAAGGCCTTGGCAGTTACATGGCTTGCCCCAGGCTACTCAGCCGAGAAATGGGGGAGGTAAGCCTTGAACCCACGTTTGCCAGCCTCGGAACTCTGGGTTCAGTGTTCTGTCAGGACCCTCACTCTCCACCTAGCCCCCAGCCCTTTGCCGCAAAGTAATGAGGGGTCAGTGGTCAGGGGGTGGGCAAGAGAAGCTAGAGAGGGATCTTCTTAGTCTTTCCTCTGTGGATTGTGGCAGAGCCGTGTGACAGCTTAGGGTGGGGAGAGCTGTGGTCATCAAACCCCAAACGAGGCAGATAAAGACGTCCTTGACACTCATGGGAATTCCCTGTGCGACAAACCCTGAGTGGCCCAGAGCATTAACTCTGACAACCAGGATGAACCTGGAAACCACACCAGGCCTCCTCTGCATGGCTCCAAGGTGCCCCTGCTGTGAGCATGGCCTGCCCGCCATCGCTGTCCCTAGGGCCACTCCTGCCACTTCATCTCTCCCTCGCTTTGCTCTGTGTGAGCTCCTGAGAATTCCCTGCCTGGCTGTTGGGCCAGGGAGCTGGTGTCACCCGGCCTTGCTCCTACAGCAGCAGGCACCCTGTGTTTTGATTCCCCCAGGGGCAGCCATTCCATGCGGTATCAGTGATGGCAAGAAGGAGCTAATGGCAGGCCATGCTGGCCTGGCAGGAGTGGCCCAGAAAATGCCTCCTTGTATCCCATTTTAAATTCTCACCCAGTGGAAACCGTGAAGGTAAAGGTTCTCAAAGGGAGCTTAGGGGCCCTTCTGCAGACCCCTAGGAGGATGCACTTGCCTTTTGGAGAAGGATCTGGACCTCAGCAGGCTGCCTTGGTGTCTCTGCAGCCTTCTGGCCTGCTGACCACCCCCTCGTTCCTAGCCTGCTGCTGTCTCCTCCACCAGGAGCACCCTCCTTCCTTCCGCTGACCCAGAACCCAGCTCGAGCCCTGCTCCCAGAAAGGACTCCCTAAAGACAGTGGCCTGGCAGCCTCCAGAGTGGCACTAGACCACCACTTGGGCCTGCTGATGGGTCTCTCCCCACCACAGGGCCCACACCTCTGGAGGATCGGGCACCTAGTAAGTGTTGGTTTATTGCTCAATGGTGCCAAAGCAAGGCTGGGCATTTAGCAGGTTTATACACTGGACAACCCACCTTGGGATCAGAGCCAGGAGTACTCTCAACCCCTCTGGCACTAGGAGGCTGGGTTCAGAGGCCAGCTCTGCAGCTTGCCTCAGGCTGTCTGTGCCTCAGTTTCCTGATCTGTAGAATGGGAATAATAATAGTACCTAACTCTCATGGTGGTTGTATAGTTATGAGATGACAGCCGAGCACATAGAAAGTGCCAGACAAAATGGCACACAGCACTCCCCAAGGCTCAGCGTTGGCATCATTATCACACGACTCTGGGTGGGAGGGCGCAGCCATGAGAGGGTCTGCATCATCTCTTCCCCTGACCCCACACCTTCCTCCATGCCCTGGTGCAATGTGCATCCACGGGCTGGGCTCGTGGCCTCCTTTAGCACTGCTGGCCTCTGCTTTCAGCCCTCACCCAAGGGCAGGGTGCGCACACCTGCATTTGGCATGAATGTCACAGAGAGAAACTGAGGCCAGGGCTGAGCGGGTCTGCCTTCCTCTTGTCACTCAGCACCCTGCTTGTCAGGCCTGTTGCCAGGCCACTGGCCTGGGAGCTTGTGACCAGCAGTGACCACCTCTTAGACACAGTCCCAGGTACACATGGTGGGCCCACATAGTGGGCAGAGGGTCTCCTCCTGCCCCCTGCTCTCAGCCTGTCCCCTCAGCTCATTTCTTCCTGCTGAAGCCAGCCAGGATCCTGGTTACATTCTTGAAATTGCATGGAAGGAGCAGAGCCCTGCTAAACTGGTTTTTGTTCCTTAGCCCCAGGGCCACAGAGCCACCCTCTGTTGTGGCCTAGAACAATGCCCCAATGTTCAGTGGGACCTGGGGTGAGTGGCGGATGGGCCCATGGCCAGATCAGAACCATCCCTGCCTCAGCCTGCCCAGAGGCCCAGGGGACTTGAGCATTGCTGGGAAAGCACCCTCTCCCCACCCCCCATACTCCCAGTGAGGCAGAGTCCACCCCAACATCCCTGCTGTCTGCAGTAGGACATGGGGCAGGCAGACGGGGAGGCTGTCCTGCCACAGGGAGGCCTGACCCAGCCAGAGCACAGGCTGGCTAAGGTGGCCGAGGACTGACTTGGAGGATGCTGAGCTTGGCTTCCAGAGGAGGTCCAGCTGTTTGGGGGCTGGGGTGGAGCTCAGGCTCCAGAAAACTTTTGACAAAGCCTGCCCACCCTCCCTTCCCATTTATATTTTGGAGGCGGTTGTTTCTTCCAGGACTGGGCAGTCAAACTGGGCAGGAGTCCAAGGACGGGGGGTTGAGGCTGATTGCTGCCTTTCCCTTGGGGGAAGCAGAGTCCAGGAGGACAGATAGACTTTGCCAGCCCTGCCTCAGGGACCCAGCAGGAAGACAGAGGCTAAGGTGGCATGTGGCAGTGCANGCTGGTTTGGGAACAGGGCCTTCTGCAGGCCTGACCATCATCCTGGGTGGGCAAACTGGACGGAAGTGGATTCAAAACCGCTGGTCTAGTCCCAGCTCATAGAGCAACAGTCCCTGAGGGCCAAGTCCAGGGAGAGCAGAGTACTGTTTCAGGCCTGGCACTGGACCTTCAGCTCTCCCAGGCAGGGGTGGGAGGTGGGTGGCAGGGAAGGGTATCCTGGTACAGCAGTGTGTGGGGGTGGGCTGGGTCCCCCATTATTCTCTCAGGCTGGTGTATTCTGTTTCCCTGAAACCTCAGCCCCGGGAGGACGGTCCTGGTGTGCAGGTTCCCAAGGCCCCCAGGTGCCCACTCTCGCTCCCAAGGCCCCCTCACCCTTTGTCTCTTCCAGCTGGAGGGGTGAGCCTCCACCCCGACCCAGGCCTGCTTTACTATTATGTCAGTTTGAGGTGGTCTTAGCTCCCCCTGACTCACAATTACAACCCCTCCATGTAACTAGTCCCC